ACAACCCATAGGACTTCGAGGTAGATCGCCGACATAAATCCTCATCCTCACCCTCTTTTAGGCCCCTGCACAACCAGGTTGTGCAGCATAAGTCCTAACTCGCTTTAGGTTCCGAGGTTGTTGTGTGGTACGACGTAAACCCTCCTTTCTCTGTGGGTTATTTGCATAATCGGGTATTATGCAAATGTAAGTCCCAAATAATAAAATTGGCAGGATTGAACATTTAAATAACATCGTCTTCAAAAATATAGCCACATAGTAGGATAGTTTGGGAAGTCATTGGGGATTTTCCTCAGATCTGTGACATCCCCTACCTTTTACTTTCTTTGGACTCCTGAAAGAACTGTTCCTACTTGAGCCACTCCCATTTGGTTTTCCTCATCCTACCTTGAAAACCTGAACCTTGAATTCTTGAAGACTAGAACCATTGATCATTATCGAGAGTTTTCTCAAGTGACTCCCGTCATTTGGGATGTAATTAACTATAGTATAGGGAATTTGGAACCCAGGTAAAATAAATCCTATTTAATCTTTGTATTAAATAGGGGAATTTGTCGGTCATATATAAAAGGTTCGCAGACCAAACGGATGTCACAAATCTCTTAGTTTGCAGGATTGGGTCTATCGCTGAGGTCTACACTTATCTCTCGGGAAGGTGTAGTATTCGCGGTATCAGGCACGATTATGCAAACTATCAGACCAATGAGATCTATTTGGTCTCATTTTTCAAAAATTAAAACATACTGCTTTCAAAACCCAAACTATATATCTTTTATATTTAAATTAAATCTCAAAAATTATTTTCATATATCATATTTTTTTCATAATTAATCAATCGAAAAAAAAGTTGACCGACAACAGTCAGACAGCTTATCCGGATCAGCTGATCATCAGCAGATTATCAGGATAAGCTGCTTATCAGCAGAAGCTGGATAAGCTGCAGCTGCCCCAAACAGACCCTTAGTTCTTGATTTTGTTGAATCATTAAAAAATGAGAAGAATTGAAGAGAGCAAAATTTTTTTCCATGAAGTTCTTACTCTAAAGTTATACATCAGTTTTTCTATGACATTCTTATTTACTATGCATGAACTTCTTACAAAGTGGATGTTTGAAGGGGCTGATGTACATGGCTGAAATTTTACATAAACGGGGACGTTAGATTTCTCTGCTAAGTTTCATGCCGTGCATGAATTTCTTATAAATGGGGGTGTTAGATTTTTTTGGGAATCTCAAACTTATAGCATTCATATAATAGTGGAGGAAGACTCCAACTTCTATAAGTTCTCTTATCATATCCGTACTTCAATGAAATTGAAACATTTTATTACATTTAAACAATGAAGGTTGTGGTCATTATTTTCCAATGCGATTATTAGTGATGCTATTAATAGGGAAAGTAAGACATACCCAGTAGTGAAGTTACTATTTATCTTCTATTAAAAAAATAAATAAATATAGCTGAATTCGGCTCAGCCTATCTCAGAGTATAAAGAAACTTAGAAGATTTCATATAAGATGTCATGTGTAAAGAAATCTGATACCTTTTCCTATTGAGAGCATAATATACGTGTGATTTGAATGTAAAAGCCCCCTCTTGTTTTATGTGATCTCCGTATATGTTTTATTTTGAGATTGATACAAGGAACTTTAAATAGCTGGATTAGTTTCATATAAATTTTGAAATCATGTAAGTGTCTGTTATATAAATTAGCAAATGGGGAAATATAAGAGATGAAATATCATCTGCTACAAGAGAGGGAAACAACAATACATTTTTTTTGTTATATGTTTAAAAGAAATTGATGTAGAAAATATACCAACAATACATTTTAACAAAAAAGATTGACAAAACGTTACTAAAAACTTTCAAGAGAGAACGGGAAGAGCGCATAGAGCGTATGACCATACTCAATTAAAAATAAATGAGACCAATAAAAGATTAGAAAATTTGAAAAGAACTCGAAAGAGTATCTACTGGACTTGGTTGGAATCCAGCCAAAAATATATGTATCAGTAGATTGGTGGAATCAGAAACTAGAGGTGAGATTAAGTTTTACACATTTGTATTTCTATTTCATTTGTTCTTACGATTCTTAGACATAACTTTGCCTTCCAATTATGTCACTGACAGGTTGTTCCAAATGCTAAGAAATTTATATTTGGTGAAATCGAACCTAAACTAGAAGAGAAGCTTGGTCTTATGTTTGGTGGCGTTATTGCTATTGGTGATAATGTTTGGACTCCTCAAGCTTTGGAAGAGCCCAGAGAGAGCCCACTTGATCCTATTCAAAGACCACCATATGACATAAATGAACACAGTGAATCTAATCATGCAAAGACTCCTTTAAAAGTAAGGACAATTCGTAGCAAAAAAATTGATATTGTGTATCTAAGAACTCAAATTTCAGAGCTAGTGACAGTATGTACAAACTTATCACCCGAGTCCACCACCACACAATTGTCTTCATCCATCCCTGATGTGATAAAAATATTAGAGCAAATAACAAAAGTTTATGAAGATATTCCCTTATACCTCATTAATTGCGATTATTTTACGAAATCACAAAGTTTGAGTAATTTTAGCCTGTCTTTTGAGTGGAATGGACTCGATATATTTGTGTATCAACTATGGAACATATGCTTGTGATGTCAGTTGTGTTTGTGATGTATGGTGGCAGAACTATTATTTCTGGAAGTTTAGGACAATCGAACCCAAGCTAGCACTTATAAACAAGCTCCTAATTTAACCAACAATTGGAATTTTAAGCAGATAGGTGCCTAGACCAGTCGATCTCTTTAAAAATACCAGCTTCACCGGCCTCATATCCAAGATACTTACAATGCTAGATATAATAATTATGTAATGATCTAGAATAAAAGCATAATTTTTAGGTGTTCTGAAAACTTTTAGAAGGCTGCTTTTAGTCATGCATTTAACCAATCTAAATTTCAAATGCTCTAAAGATCATGAATAATACATATTTCCAATTCCAAGTCATTTTATATGTCAGGCCATAAAAAAAACAAATCTCTCTGAATTATTAGACCAAATGCTAGGAAACTTTCCAAGCATATGGTGATTATAGAAATAACCGTAGAAATGCAAGGAATTGATTAATAACATAGTTTTAATGGTTTTCAAGAGGAGTGATAAACCTACTTTTTATTAGAAGACTACAACATATAAAATTTCGATTTTGAATCAAGAAATTCTCCATTTTTGAGGAGAAAGGTGACTTCCAGGAATCTTTCTTCAGTCTACAATAGGCTTCCACTATATTCCTGAAAAATACATTAGCACAATTGCTATCCACTTGATTCCATAATGAGAACAACAAGCTTTTGCCTTCGTGCTTAAAAGGGAAAGACAGCCACCAAATTCAAAGTTCTTCTTTCCAGCTAACTTCATTAAATCTACTCTAAAGAAAAAACGATGTCTTCAAAATTAGCGTCAATTAAATGAATACAAATCTCAAGCTCACCGAGATCTTTCTACCAATTTTGTATTGTTAGCTATATTTAGCTTTTGAATGATAGAGGAGGCGTCAGTTATGATGTAAGTATAAATTGTTTCCAAGCTGAATCCAAAAGGCAAGGATAAGAAGGGGAGATAAACGAGCATATGTGCTTCAACTAAAAAATACATGAAATGAAATGTAGATGTTCACTAAAAAAATATTCATTAAGAAAACATGTTTTTGCTTGAGCAGTACCCAATACAAAAAGTAGATATTAATAAAGCATTAAAAAAAGCACAACTAATGAAAAACTAAACAAAGCAAAAGATTGGCAATTGACAAAGGGTAAAGAGGAATTTCAGAAATACCATGAAGTTGTGCCATTCTCGATAGGAAGCCCCCCGACCTGACGTATGAGTACTTGAAGGATCATGTATAATTGTTTTGGCAGCCTTCAATTTCACCATAATATTCTAATTTACATAAAAAACACCTACATGTAATCCGTTAAACATCCCCTAGAATCCTAGATAGAGTTTAATAAAGGAAAATGTATATCTAGCATAAACAATAGCCAACATGTCAAATAATTTGTAAGAAAGCAATTCATTTTTCCCAATGCTAAACTAAATACATGAGAAGATCCCGAGTTTAACAACTAAAATAAATCCTTCATTTATAACGACAATACAAAATGAACCAAAAAAAAAAAAAAAGGAGAAATAACAATGTACTCCTCTCAACTAAGTATAAAGAACTTCAATTTTGTAAAACCGGATGATAAAAAGAAATTAAGGGGATGTTAGCTTCATTGAAATTGCAATTTTCTATAATGTTATTAGATGTCAGATTTGTTAGGCTGGCAATATCAAATTACAATTTAAAAAGTAACTTGTATACCACCCAATCTGTTGGGAAGAACAAGTTGCTTAAAATCTAACATGTAAATGTCATGGCCACTTTTTTACACGTAAGTGAAAAGCTTTTAGTCCCCTACGCTGCTTTCTTAAATATCAGGATTGTGCTTTATTCCTCTCAAGGCCTTTCTGTCCAGCTAATGAATCTAGTTAAAAACAATGATTTCCCTTTTTTTATATAATATCGAATTTGTGAAGCTATTTGATAGAAAATTTCAGCTTTCTCTTATTTTTTAAATTATTTTCCGATAGATAATATAAGGAGGTAATCTTACCATATATGCATTGAACTCTAAATAAAGCGTTGAATCAAAAAGTTACTATCTAGAAAATAGTTAAATACTAACAACTTTAAATACATTAAATAAACATAAAATATATTTTTTATAGCACTTAAATCTTAATAATATTGGCATTTGAATAACAACAAACCAAGCAAGCATCCCCTTAATACAAACCAAAGAAAAGTCTAATTTAAATGTCTGGTTTCAACATCATTTTGTTAAGGCTGCAGTTTGTTGTCTGACACAATTTTGGTATGAAATAAAGTTTTAAATATTTCGATGGGAATGGATAGCTGCTCCATGGCTTCGTGGAGGTGCCAGTGCAATATATTATTGACATGGTAAAAAATTATAATCTTTTTATGTCATGTTTTTAGAAAGCAAAATAACCGAAAGCCATTATTAAACAACGGCATCATTATCTTTTACATTTCTTAAATGCGTTCGCTAGACGATGCAAGAGTAGAGCTGAACAAACTGGAGGTTATAAAAGCATAATAAGGAAAAAAACAATAACCTTTCATTAGCACTCTAACTCTCAGACTAGAAGCTATTTTGGTAGAAGCTCAATGAAAGAGTTAAGTTGGATTCAACTCAAATCTTTCCAGACAAGAAAAAAAGAAAAACTTGAAATGATGTAACCAAAACAGGTAAAGTTACACCAGCGAAAATCTGCCCAACGATGGCCCGATAAAATGACCAAACCATCAACGATAATCCAGGACTACAACTTGGAAAGAGGGTAGTGATGGGTGCTTATTGGGGTAAATAAAATAGATAACTAAATATTTATTTACAAGTTAGTAGAACAGAATTGGTGTCTTACTGTAATTGTTGAGGTCGTTTGTGGTTGTTAAATTAGTGCCACTTATCACAGAGAGGAAACCTCTATTTTGGCAATCATGAGAAACAATCGTAATAAGGTTGTTCTTATAAACAAAAGCAATGAGTGAATGACACCTCCAAGATTTTTCCCTTCATTTCTTCTACCTAACTGTGTTTTCTTCCAAAAGTTTTCGGCAAACCCTTGAATATATCAGTATTTTTGGCGCTCTCATTGAGCCTCCTGTCAAGTGCTCCACCTCCTTAGCTCTTCCACCAATGTTGTTTCTCCTACTCACAAAACTCTCTCCAGCTTCTTCGTCATTACAAACGCATTGATTTCCTTGATCTATAACAAACGTAATCATTCCACAATCAAGGTGTTCCATAAGCATGAAAAGGTTTATTTCGCATTTTAAAGCTAGAATGAGTTTGAGCACAACAAAAGAACAACACACCTCCATTAACGAGATACTTCGCAGCATTCAGATTTGTATAAACCCCTCGGTAGTCGAGCAAGAAGAAAACATGGCCCCTACCAAAACAACAAAGAAACCTCTATCTCCTTTTCAATAGAAACAAGTTTGAAGAAGCTTATAGCTGGTAATCCCTTCAAGGCCATTCACAAATTCATGGAGGACATCTCGAGGCTTGGATTCAAGAAATAGAGCAAGATTACAAATTTCATGAGCTCTTCAATGATGAAAAACTAATATTAGCGTCCTTCCACATGAATGGCCCTACCAAGGAATGTTGCCTATGGTTAGCCAAGACAAGATTGTCATCCTTATCCTTCTAGCCGTATTTCTTGTATAATCTTCACAATCATCTTGGCTATGGGTTATTGAGATGCAATTCCCCCAATAACTTTCACGATTTCATTTCAATAACCCCTGCATTAACCCTCAATAACCCCTCAACGACGTAGAGAGAAAAGTTACCCAAAATCGAGAGGCATCATTATCTTCTACGGAGCAACGGCTCTGCTTAACTACTTGTTGAATCTCTTCCCCCCAGCTGGCAATACACCGTCGAATCTTGCGAGCATAATGGAAGACCTAATGAGGCACGGCGTAGGCTCGAGCAGAACGAAAACCTTAACAATGCAGAGTGGCACGACGCGATCACACAAAATTGAATAGCAGGGTGGCTTTTTTTCGTATTAGGGTCACCTAAGAAAAAATTAAAGTGGAACCGTGGAGTTTATGCGAGTGGAACTGCAGATATTATTTGAGAGGGTTATTGATGGATTATTGAGGCGCAATTCCCCCAATAACATCCACGATTCCATTTCAATATCCCCTGCATTAACCCTCAATAACCCCTCAACAACGTAGAAAGAAGAGTTACCCAAAATCGAGAGGCATCATTACCTTCTATGGAGCGACGACTTTGATTACCTACTTGTTGAATCTCTTCCCCTAAGCAGGCAATACATCGTCGAACCTCGCGAGCAAAATGGGAGACCTAATGAGGCACGACGCGCTCAAGAAGAACGAAAACCTTAACAATGCAGAGTGGCACGACGCGATCACGCAGGATTGAATAGGCGAGTGGCTTTTTTTCGTATTAGGGTCACCTAAAAAAAATTAAAATGGAAGCGTGGAGTTTATGGGAATGGAACCACAGATATTATTTGAGAGAGTTATTGATGGATTATTGAGACGCAATTCCCCAATAATCTCCACGATTCTATTTCAATAACCCCAGCATTAACCCTCAATAACCCCTCAATGACGTAGAGAGAAGAGTTACAGACACCATTACCTTCTACGGAGCGACGGCCCCGATAACCTACTTGTTGAATCTCTTCCTCTGAGCTGGCAATACAGCGTCGAACCTCGTGAGCAGAATGAGAGAGCTAAAGAGGCACGGCGCAGGCTCGAGCATAACGAAAACCTTAACAATGCAGAGTGGCACGACCCGATCACGCAGGATTGAATAGGAGGGTAGCTTTTTTTTGTATTAGGGTCACCTAAAAAAAATTAAAGTGGAACCATGGAGTTTATGGGAGTTGAACCGCAGATATTATTTGAGAGGATTATTGAGGCGCAATTCACCTAATAACCTCCACGATTCAATTTCAATAACCTCTGCATTAACCCTCAATAACCCCTCAACGATGTAGAGAGAAGAGTTACCCAAAATCGAGGCATCATTACCTTCTACGGAGCGACGACTCTGATTACCTACTTGTTGAATCTCTTTCCCTGAGCTGGTAATACACCGTCGAACCTCGCAAGCAGAATGGGAGACCTAATGCGGCACGGCGCGGGCTCGAGCAGAGCGAAAACCTTACACGATCATGCAGGATTAAATAGGAGGGTGGCTTTTTTTCGTATTAGGGTCGCCTAAAAAAAATTAAAATGGAACCGTGGAGTTTATGGGAGTGGAACCGCATATATTATTTGAGAGGTTTATTGATGGTTTATTGAGGCGTAATTCCCCCAATAACCTCCACATTCGATTTCAATAACTCCTGCATTAACCCTCAATAACCCCAGCTGTTCCCCACTCCGTATGGAAATTTTCTCCTCGTTCAGGTCGGGTTTGTTTTCATTCAAAATGACGCATTTTGGCCCATTTTTATAATAAAGGGAGTGGGCCTGAGCATTGACGGTGGCGATGTCTTATTGGCGTCCTGACACAAATTGCGTCCGGCCTCCGCACAAAATATTTTCTGCAGCTCAAGAGTCAACTTGGTGCAATGGGGAGAAGATGGCTTCCGCAAAAAGGGAGGTATAAGGTGGTGTGGAAAACCCTAATCCCAAAAAAACGGGGTAGTCGGAGAGGTCAGTTTCGACTTTCGGGAGGATTTCATTTTGCTGATTCTTAATTAGGGGTCGTTCAGTAGCAGGATTTAAGCAGGATATAACCTAAATCCTTCCAAACAGAAAAAAAATACTCATCTTTAAAAATCCTACAGATTCTTAAATCCTGTTTTGCCTTAAATCCAGGATTTAATAAATCCAATTCGAAAAGGGATTTACGGAATTTAGAGAAGCTGGAGCGAGCGAAGGCGAGTGGGAGGAAGAGGGAGAAAGAGAAGGGTTACCTTCCTCAAGGGTTTCGAGTAAGAGCGGAGCGGAAGAAGGAGAGAGATTTCTTGGCCGCGAGCCCGTCGTTGCTGCTCCAATGGCGACTGGATGGTGAGGGTTCGCACGAAGGCGATGGTTTTGGGCCCTAACCAGAGAGTGGGTCGGGACGCCTGCGATGGTGAGGAGAGGGGAATGGGATTTATGCCTTTAATTTTATTTTATTCATTAAAATTGGCTTTTGTTAATTTAGCTTATTGATAAATAATAATTAATTATGTTGAATCTAAAAGTATCTATGAATATACACCCAAAGAACGAAAAGTTATGCTAAGTAGTGATTAGGGAGAGAGAGAGAGCACTAGAAACTTGTTAAAAAAGTGTCTTATTTATAATATGGGTCTGTATTTATAGATTTAGGTCTTAGCATTACAAAAGTACATATTAGTTCATCATCATTAATTTTTTAAGAAATTTTTTGATAATTTCAGAGTTACTTGCATATAATAAGATAAGAGGTTGATTCAATAGATGAGGGATGTCTATCATTTGATAAGTACTGACTCGATCGATATTTAGTCTGAAAGAGTGCTCCCATTGATAGACTTAAAGGTTGATTACAGGTCAGCAGGTTTCTTTTGACGCATTCTATCGATCTTTCGAACAATGTGCTTCTATTGCTAATATTCATAAAAAAATGATCATCGAAGGCTATGTTCGATCATTTATATCTACTTCTTGAGTCGTTCATCTGTTTGAAATTTGTGCTGACATATTTTTATATATAAAATTAATATATTATTCTATTAAATAAAATCAGATAATTTTATATGTGATTGTTTAATAAATTTTTAATAAATATATACATTAAAATCCAATTATTCTCATAAACTAAGTAATTGTTAATTGAAGAATGATGATTTATTAATTAATACATTTAGTCTAATAAAAGTATTTTAAAGACAAAATAATTCAATAAACTCTTAATTATAAATTATTACAACAAGAATGCAAATTTTAAATAAAATTTAACTATACTTAATAATTATATCATTAAAATACTATATTACACTCATAATTCAACAAAAATTTTAAATATTAAAATATGTTATCAAATAATTTTATGGGATTTACTAAATTTATCATTTGTCCTGCCAAAAAAAATTCAACATAATTAATTATTATTTATCAAGTGCTCCACCTCCTTAGCTCTTCCACCAATGTTGTTTCTCCTTCTCACATAACTCTCTCCAGCTTCTTCGTCATTACAAACACATCGATTTCCTTGATTTATAACAAACGCAATCATTCCACAATCAAGGTGAATGAGTGTTTGAGCACAACAAAAGAACAACACACCTCCATTAACGAGATACTTCGCAGCATTCAGATTTGTATGAACCCCTCGGTAGTCGAGCAAGAAGAAAACATGGCCCCTACCAAAACAACAAAGAAACCTCTATCTACTTTTCAATAGAACCAAGTATGAAGGAGCTTATAACTGGTAATCCCTTCAAGGCCATTCACAAATTCATGGAGGACATCTCGATGCTTGGCTTCAAGAAATAGAGCAAGATTACAAATTTCATGAGCTCTCCAATGATGAAAAACTAATATTAACGTCTTCCACATGAATGGCCCTACCAAGGAATGTTGCCTATGGTTAGCCAAGACAAGATTCTCATTTTTATCCTTCTAGCCGTATTTCTTGTATAATCTTCACAATCATCTTGGCCCATCAAAGTATGACATTCACATTGAACTAGTCAAACTCATGCAAACCTCTACAGTGGATAATTATCAATTGCAATTTGAAAAATTGCCCAATGAAATATCCTGAACCAACAAAACATTTCTAACAAGTTGCTTCAAATAGGGCTTAAACCAAAAATTAGTGAGGTGCAGACCCATCTCCCCACATAACAAGAACAGACAATCGAATTGGCCAACTTGATTCAAGAAAAAATCCTAGACAACAAGCAACTACCCGCATGCAATAGTGTTGAAGCCAACAATATGAACTTCCCTATGTTCCCTCCTACTAGGATCGCCAAAACTGCTTTCACAAGCCTCTATGACTCAAAATCTGATGTCCATAAAAAAACTATAGCAAAAGTTTTAGAACCATGAAAAAAGCCTTTGTTATAACTATGACGAGAATTCACAAAGTAATCACATCTGCAAGGGAAACAATCTTCACTTTTGATCGAAAAAGACAACTCCCAACTGAAGATAATGATAATCCCACATCAAAAAATTTCCACGAAGAAGAAATAGCACGTAATAAAACAGAGCAACAAAAGATCAATCTTGATGTCTTGGCCCAGCTACTTAGACCACACTTTTCGTCTGCCAAGTGCCATGGCATCTCAAATAGTTAAATTTCATCCATTAACACTTTGAATTTCTCCAACAACAACGAACTCAAATGTACTTATTGGCAATTAAAAACAACCAAGTGTGAAAGTATCTTGACAACACATTGCTCATTTAGGGCACTCACTTCACCATAAACTACTATGTCTTGCCAATCCAAGTAGCAATCATTGTACTCAATGACTAGTGACTAGAACAGTAGAGGGATATCGTAACAAATTATAAGCCTCTTTTCATAATCATCTTGCGACATGGCATTCAAATGAAGTAAAAAAGTAACAGAGAACTACCCGCTAAACCCATTTATTATAACCAAATACTCAATTTATTTAGCCTAAGCTCCATTTCCGAGTGTTACCAACTTATGACAAGATTGATAGACAACCAACCACTACAGATCTCTGACATTCCTCCTAATGCAGTGACCAAACTATTGTACCTATGCATCAATACTAACACCTTTTTGAACCTCCAACCAAACAACCTATTGCACACGAAAGCAATTACCAAACTCATTTAAAAATGAGTACTCCATCAATTAATGTTTCATTATACTGATGCCTCAAATTCCAAAAAACAATCTAAGTGCTAAATTTTAGATTGATTCATCCAAGCATTAGTTCATACTCCTCACCCATGCTACTTGTAAGAAAAAAATGGCACATGATGTTTTTGTGCGGACTACCAGCCTTGAATAATGCCAATATCCCAAAATATACTTTTATGCCAGCAGTAAACGAGAAGCTCAACAAACTAGAGTGCAATTATTATTTCCAAATTAAACCTACAAGTTTATTACCACCAAGAAAGATGGAAGTGTACATCCATTCCACCAAGTTCATCGCCACGCCTTTTGAACTCACCAATGCACCATCAACTTTTCTGATTTCATGGAAAAAAAATCAAAATCTCAAAAATTTATCATAGTATTTTTTTTATGGAATACTTTTATAAATTCAAAATATATAAAATCACACTCAACACTTGACTTTGGCTTTCAATTGCTACCACAACTATCACTTTTACCTTGAGTGTCTTTGTGCTCGATCAAAGGCCAATAGTGAATGTCAACAATGTAGGCCCCAACCCAGACAAATTTGTGTCATAGTCAACCGTCCAATTCTAATAAACTTAAGGCACTGATATTTCCTCGATCTCGTTGGATATTATTGCAAATTCACTATTCCATTGTGTTTTAACTACCATGTTGTAAGAAGATGGCTTCCATTGGACACCAACAGCAAAATAGGCCTTTGATAGCCTAATATTCATCTTAACTAAATCAAAATTATTAATTTTGCCTATTTTTGGCAAACCATTCACAATGCATATTGATGCTCACTCTATCGAGGAAATAAACCCAAGCCTTCTACAACCGGAAAATAAACTTTGAGATGAAACAGTTCTCCACCTATGTGTGAGAACAATAAACCATGACAAATAGTGATAAAACGACAACAATATTTGCCGACTCTCAATTTACTATTCGAACTAACAAAAAGAATCAATTTGTTCAAACAAAAGGCAAGCATTATTATTTACTGAAGTCATTAGGGTATGAATTCATGATTGAATACAAACCGAACTCCACAAACAAGGTTGCTAAAGCTCTCTCACAAATGTACGAGCAACAGACAACATGTCAAACAAGTTTATAAAGCAACTTAAAACAAAAAACAAAAACAATCAATGAGCTCAAAAAACTCCAATGGAATATGGTGGAGAATCCAACAAGTCATTTGACATTGCCATAAAAAATTGTTTCACAAACATGACGGCATTGTCCTGGCTAGTACTAATCTGGAACAATAAATTCTTGAGTATTATCATTCAAGTTTTACGCATGGTCATCGGGGAAACATAGACATCACATCACACCAAGCAAACATTTTTTTATTGGAGTGCAATAAAAAGGATGCGGTGGAATTCATTCAAAGCAACTCAATATGCCAAGTAATGAAGTACTAATCACTGGATCCAGTTGGTGTTATTACAAAGCATGCCATTTTTTTTAAGATACTTGGTATGACATTGCAGTGGACTTCATTATTCAATTCGGCTCGTCCAAATGCGAAAAAAACAACCATATTAGCTATGATCATCTTCCCAAGTAAGTGCATGTCACACCACAACCACAATAATTATAAAAAAATGATAGCGTTAAAGTCTTTATCTCCAACACATGACAACAATGCAGCACTACTAAAAGTTTAATCTCATATCATTATTGCATATGTATGATGCCAATTTTGTCATTCCTCATTCAAGGAATCGATCATACAACTATACACAACACAACTCGCCAACCCAAGGTGGACAGACAAACAGAATTTAGCAACAGGAGCCCCAAACTATACCTACTTTGTCATGTAATGGACAACCTAAAGAAATGGAGTCAATAATATGTCATAGCTTGAAAGCTATTAAATAACCACCGTCATGCTACCATATAAATGATATCCTTCCTAGAATTATATGGTTGTCCCTCTCCCTCAATCCAGTCACACATCAAAAACTCCTCTACCTTCAAAATTGTTGACCAGTGGTTCCAGTAGCAAGCATATTCTATTCACGCTACACACCACCTAAAACAATAAGTACATAAGCACCATTGCAACATCAAATATCAAGTGGCAGGCCTCATGCTCCTCAAATTACAACTCTATAGACAACTCTCCTTGCATAGCAATAGCAATACCAAACTAAATAAGCAATACAATGGCACTCAGAATAATCATCTACAAGCTCGAGATGCCCGCACATCTTCCGGCTGAACTGTTCCACGAAAAATTACGTTAACATTCAATGGAACTCTCATCAGACAACTAGGACCGCCATCCAATTGTGAAACAAGATCAAATTTTGAAGTCCTGGTGGCTATATAAAAATGAAAACCACATTGGCAAGGCCAGGTCATATGGATAGGAAATCTACAAAGGAAGCCACATGGGTGGGTGACGAGCTGGATTATTCCTGCACCAATAACAACTTTAGGGACAAGGTAATCCTAGGAAGGAGAAAGGGAATTTATATGAACACAACTAGCAAAGATCCACTAACAGAGCCTAGCCACGACCAAACCAAAGACAAACCAATGAACCATCAATAATACTGAAGGACTGCCACTTGGAAGGAAGATAGTGATGGATGTTTATTGGGGTGAATGAATTGGGTAAGTTGTCAAAGTAAAATAAGGGCTCTTACTGTGATTAGTGGGACTGTTTAAGATTGTAAAAGTAGTAACATTCATCACGAGGACGGAAACTCGGTTTTGACAATCTCGTGAAGCCATTGGCATAAGGCTGTTACTGTACACAAAAGCAATTCATGAAAGATATCAACAAGCTTATTCCCTGTATTTGCTCTTATTCTACCTACCCGCCTGTTTTCTCCCAGACATTCAAATGCTCGAATTGGTGTATATTCTTATCATCAAATCCTGAGGAAACTTCAATCAATTTCCACTCCCATTCTAGGTTATACCTTGAATTTACTAAATCACACTATTCTGTGAGATTAAGAGGTTGTATGGTGGCAGGATTTAGGGGCAGGAATTGACCTAAATCCTGCCAAGCAGCAAGAATGACAACATTAAATCCTGAATTTACTAAACCACACTATTCTGTGATATTAACAGGCTTTTTAATAGCAGGATTTGAGTGGGATTTGAGCAGGATTTAACCTAAATCCTGCCACACAGCAACAATGACATCATTAGGGGCTATTTGGTAGCCGGCTTTAATCAGGATTTAAGCAGCTAAATTCTGCCAAACGGCCAAAAGCGCCTCCATAAATCCTTAGTTCCCGTAAACCCAAAATAACACTGATTCGTAATAAATCCGGAATTATAAATCCTATGAATCAGCAGATTTAGTAATCCGAAACAACCGAATAGGAAGAATGTGGTAACAGGCTTACCTTCGTCAATGGTTTCTGGTTGGAGCGGAGCGTATAGATGAGAAAAATGGGAGTGTCTGTGGTCTCTGTAAGCCACGATATAGTTGTTTCCTTCCCAGCTAGCTCTAATGCGACTGTATCGCAGAATTTTGTCACATAAGCGAGGGTTTTGAAAGAACTTCACTGAAATGTCGGAAGAGATATACAAGTTGTTTTGGTATATATATATATATAAATCAAATAGAAGATATATATGTAGAAATAAACAGGAGAACCATCAATGAAGCGAAAAATAAAACGACGAAATTCACATCAGAAAAGAACAACACAGCGGAACACCAGATTTACGTGGTTCAGCAAATTGTTTACGTCTACGGAGTTGCATAGGATTTTACTACTTGAAAAATTTACATCAGTCGATCTTCTCGACTTACAAGAGGAATCTAATCTCTCACTTCATTGCTCTCTCTCTGTTCTTCTCTCTTTGTTCTTCTCTCTCTACACCGAGATACACCGAAGAAATTCTACACTGAGATACACCGAACAAGATAAACTTACAAGATAAATAAAACTAATTTCTCTTCTGCCACAAGCTACCAAGAAGAAGCCAAGGGAGAACAATCTTCTTCTTCTTCTTTCTTCTTACTTCTACCGCAAGAAACTGTTGTTTGCACTTTACTTTCTCTATCCCGAAGAAGAACACTAAAATCGTGACTACATAATCTGAAGGAGAACCATCTTTTTTATCATGAAACTAGAGGCGGAAACAGTTAGGGAGAGGCGGGAGCGGGTGTTGGCACGCGGGAGTCGCGACTGCTCGTGATCGAGGGAGCAATCGCACCGATTCGCGAAATGGGAAAAATCGCGATAGAGCAGCGGGAGCGGGGAGGGCGGACCGGGCTCCACTCAACAAACCAATACCGTCCGTAAGTTATGAAAAGACAAAAAATTAACATTGCAGCGAAATATTCTTGAAACCCTCTGAAAATGTTAGTCTGTCAAACAAAAATAGATTTTTACGTCGGCATTCAAAGCAAATGCATGTATTCTCAAATGAAGACCAAGTCCCATCAATGAGCTTCTATAGACTATACCACTAAGCTTTAGATTGACTTGGTTTAACTTTAAATCAAACACTAATAAGAAACATCTTATATTTATTTTATAGCTAACAAAATAATTTTAAAATATTTCAGATACATTATAATTTAAATACAATTATACTTATATATAAAAACGTTTATCTCACTTATTTCCAAGTTTAATTTGCATTTAAATAACAAATGTTATATGACTTCAAAAAAATTGGTAGCTGTCTTCTATTAAAATGCTCAAAGCTGTAATATATTATAATCCTTACCTTTTAATATTATTACAATAAATTAACCAAAATAAATAATCTTTTACTTCTCGTCCAGCCCACAATGTTTATTCTCTAAATCACGTGATGTCTCACGTGCTTGTCCAGATTCAAGCAGCTGCGAGGATGTTGCCTTTGCCTTTCGTTCGTCAACTAAACCAGTCCACATTGCTATAAAACAGCTATCAATCAAGCCTTCAACAGGCAAACCAAATTGCAAAATGAGGAACTATCCGCCGATCGATTTACTGGAAAAGGGATTAGTGATCCCCAGCGAGGAGACCCCGGCTGAAGAGATCTGGCTCTCCAACCTCGACCTTCTCGTTGCGCGAGCCCACACACCTACGGTCTACTTCTACCGCCGCCCACTCGATGCGACCAGATTCTTCTCGCCGGAAACCCTAAAGACCGCCCTTGCTCGAGCTCTCGTTCCATTCTACCCTCTCGCCGGCCGCCTCGCTTCGGACACAGAGGGTCGTCCTTGCATTCGATGCACGGCCGAGGGTGCCCTCTTTGTAGTCGCCCGATCTGAATCGGCCGTGGACGATTTTGGGGATTTTGCGCCCTCCGATGACATTCGACGGCTTCTTGTTCCTTCCGTTGGTGCCGACGATACTGATCTTCCGTTGGTTATGTTTCAGGTGAGTTTTCGGGGGTCACTTAATATTTACATGCATTGCACATTGTTGGCACGAAACATTTAACTTAGATTTAACTTAAACTTTTACCTACATGCCCCTGCTTATACATAAAAAGGTGTATTTTTCATGCATACGACGAGAAGCTTGCTATTTAAAAATCAACTACTCTCTTTCATCCATTTTTTAAATTCTCACAAAATTATCAAAATTCATGCTAAAACCTCAACCCCATATTTTTCATTGCTATCAAATTCGCATCACGACACACGTACATACCCTGATTTGATCGTCCAAAACAATCACCTAGGTGGTTATTAATTTGTCAACATCAATGTTTTGCCAACTTTAAGTTTTACAAAATGGTGTGCCCCATTTCTCCTTTGATTCGCATCAAATACTAAATTTAGTAAATGTTGACATTGACCTAATTGAATCCTCAAATCACATAAATATATGCACTTAATCCTAACATAGTGGTTGAGAGTATAGTTTTACGCCCTGAGGGCCAAATAAAAAATCATAAATAGCACATCTTGCTATTCACATTAATTGTCAACACTTCTTCATGGAGCTTATGTGTCATTAAGAGTGGAGCATTGGGAGGAAAGATGAGAGTTTCAAATGCCACAATTCCTTTGCTACCTTCTCCATTTGGATCAAAACAACTTTTCTCTCTCTCTCTCTCTCTATATATATGTATGTATGTATGTATGTATTTAGTTAGTGAGCAATGAACCTCTGAGCATGGGATATTTCAATGCGACAAGAAATGTCTGACCACCTGACCACTATCTCATACACATCTCAAATTTTGAATGCAAAAAGTAAAAATAAAAAAAATAATAAAAAAAAGATAAAAAATAAGTGAATTTAGTTAGGTACGTTATATTTTAACTTCTGGAATAATTTACTGGTTTTTATTAACTAGTTAAAAAATTCTTAATTAAATTAATGATGTTTTTTAGTTTAATATAAACTTCTTCTGGTAGGAAAAAATCATTGTCATATGATTTGCTAATTTTAACTAAAGTATACTAAGAATAAAAAAAAAATCTAAAAAAGTTTGTTTGATGATTGCATAATTTAATAATTAATATAATACAATAATTTAAAAATAAATTAAAGAATTGCTAAAATAGTTTAATCTAATTTAACATATGTAATCGCAAATTATATCTGGGATTTTGCAAGGATTTATTAAATCCAAATTTACAGATTACCAAATAGTCTTGAAGTGGAAATTTTGACCTATTTGAAAATTTTCAGGTAGTTTAATTTATGAATTTAAAATTAAATTAGTTTTTAAATACATTGCAATCATTGTTGCCGCTCATCCCAAGCATTACATGTAATTCATTTTACTTTAATTTAAATACAAAATTAATCCCTTACATTTATCACTCTCTCTTTTTATTATAGAAAATTAAAGAAACGACAAAAGCTGGTAATATATATATATATATATATATATATAAACCAAAAGC